GTTCTTCCTTAGTTTTTTCTTTTGTTTACATTTATTTTCTGTCGATACTTTTCTTTTCAACCTATTTATCCCCAAACTCATTAACGATAGATTTGTCGAACGATGATTCAATAACCAATCTCTTTGGACACGATATAATGTAACCTATATTACCCGATAAATTAATAACTTATTTTTTGCTTGCCGCTCTACCGCTTCAGCATCCAACGATCCTCCGTATTCCATGCTGAAAAAGTAGCGAGACAATTATTCCTCTTCTATATAAATACGAGATGTCGTCATTTCAGGGAACAAGTTTCAAACACAATTTGAATACCCTCATCATTCACATACCGACTTGAACATCAAAGTGCTAATTTTACAGGTACACCCTTGCTCCATCACATCGAAAACTCTTATTAGCCGCAAGTTCCACAAATCTACACATTTATGGTTCTGAAAAAGAACATATTCAACAGAGTCTTAGAAATGAAAATGAAATTAAAACAAATAAAAATGAATTTGACAAAATTGAAAGATAAAATAATAGAAAATAAAAAGAATGTTATGATATATTTTGTTTAACGTTGAATTTTACAAAATTACTGTAGCTTTTCACATTTAGGCAGAAGCTACATTTTAGAACTTTTAAAAAATCACAATAGAGTGACACTTGAACGTGAATTTAGAGTAAATTAATCAAATAAAACTCTAAATTAACTTAAAATCACAAAACTCTACTATCAAATTGGATACCAATTAGTAATTTGTACCAATAATTTAATCAAATAAAACTAAAAAATGGCGCAGAAAGTAATAATAATTCCCACACTCTCAATTTGGGCGGAAATTCATTTCCCACTTTTTCTTCTTCTAATTGGAAAAAAAATCGCGTCGAACACGAAGAACTGAAAACCCTATATCGGCGCAGCCTGCTACCCCGACCGCACACCGACTTCCTACTCCGGCGACCCTCCGCTCTACCGGAGTTTGACTTCTCAGTCTACCGTCATCTATTTCCGCCGTTCATTGTTAGTAAACGTGGTTCTCCGAACTTCTTCAATTTTTGCATTTGCTACTTAGATAGATCGTTATCTTTCTTTATATCCTAATTTTCATTCATACTAAGATACTATAATATCAACACTCGGTTGTATTACTATTACTATACTGATTCAGAAATTGAAAAAGAGAGGGAAAAATATGCAGATTCGTGTGAAGTGCAATTAGGGTTTGATTAATGGTCAATTTGGTTAGCTTTTTTTTCTTTTCAAGTGGGGGGTTAAGCCTACAGAGTTTTTTAAATAGAGAGTAATAGTGAATAAAATTTGTTTCGTATTAAAATGGAAAGATTGTGATTTTATATGGACTAACACTAACAGTGTAAGAGATTATTGTATTGGATAGTGAGGGTGTTATTTTGACAATGACATGGATAAAATCTTTCATTTACTGCTCTATTATTGGATTCCTAATTTAGTATTTAGTATAATTGTAATTTTAAGAGTAAAAACTATTTAATGATATTCTTAATTCTCAATTATCTCAGCAAAATTTTGAAGGATTACTAAGATAAAGTTGCTTAGTTTAATCAAGTTAGACCTACAATTAATATCACTTTTGTTTTAGTCAAATTACTAGGAAATATTAGACAAAATTTCACAAGTGTCTAGTGTTTTGTTCATAAAAATGAATAAAGTAATTCTGGGTTGACGTTACTAATGAAAAAAGCAGATCAATTTTGTCTCTTATACTATAAACGTCCATATTTGGATTCTGTATAGTTACTGTGTGGTTAGTTTTTTTATCTTTATAGTCAAATGTCAAATTAACTGTGAAATTGTTTAGAGATGATTTGGTGAAGGTGTAATGTGAATCAATCAATCTCAAATCTATGGTTGATATTTAATAGTATGCGTAACTGAGTTTTCTTCTAATTGAATCCGAATTTGTAAGAGTTTAAGATATAATCTTTAGGATGATTGGAATTCACTATCACTTTTCATCTTATTAGGAAGAAAGAGACTAGTATTGTGTCCATTCTTTTGTTGTTCAGGAAGTTTACACTTAAACTATTGGGTACCGTGAACTGACTGGGTCAAAGGTTTCCTTGAAAAAGCCGTTGTTAGTGCTCAAGAAAGTCAAGCATATGGATGGAGAAAGTTGTAGTGATGTTGAGTTACATGTTGTTGGAATTATTTGACACAAGATTCTGTTCAATACCGGACCAAAGGCCTTCATTTCTAGTAAGATCTGAATGTTCTTTATTAACATTATCCGTTGTTGTACCATGTCCTTTAATATATATAATTGATGATACTTCTAAAGGAGAATGATTTTAGTGCCGTAGACCTAGCCCTGTTTTACATTTCTCTGTTATTTCCCCTCCATCTGTACTTCCATTCAGCTTCTTAATTATTGTTTCTATGGCTAACAAATAAGGATTATGTTTTATGCTTAATGTTCTTATATTTATATGAAATGTTATAACATTTATAATTTATAACTGAAGCATTATTAACATCTCACTATATTGATTCAATGTCAAATTACCAGGCCTCAATAAAATGATTAATTATAGAGTTCATAACAAGTAGTGGACGTGCCGGAGTGGTTATCGGGCATGACTAGAAATCATGTGGGCTCTGCCCGCGCAGGTTCGAATCCTGCCGTCCACGGATTTTTGATAGAATTTTTTGCAAATGAAGGAAGAAACTGAAAATAAAATCAAAAACGCTAGAAGGAGGGGTTGAACCTCCGACCTTGTGGTTAACAGCCACACGCTCTAACCAACTGAGCTATTCCAGCTATGGTTTTTAGAATTTGACTTGTAATTTTTTACATCAACACATTTATCAATTTATGAATTAATTATAAGTTTACATGAAAGTGAAACTCAGCCTGCCATGTACTAGGCATCAAAATTTGTGTCAGGAATCTATTGAACCTATATTAAAATGCATATGAAAATGAAAGTATTGTAATAAAGTGTGAAAATTGTATACTTTGATGTGAGTATTGTCTTTGAATTGCTATCTATATTAGTGGAGGTTGAGAGCAATGTGACGGTTTGGGGGACAAACTGTTCTGGGGCTGTCCATAAGCCCTCTAAGTCTTCTTTTTACCACATGACTAGCACATACATGCAAGGATCCTCCGCATTCCACGCATGAAAGAAACGATCCTCCGCATTTCCACCTGAAAGATAGTAAGACTGTTATTCCTTTCTCCTATATATAGAGAATGATGTCAAATTTGTTAATAAACCAAATTTCTTTCTGGCATTTCCTTAAACACCTTTCTTGCACTGCACTTTTTTGGTAAACCTACATTGCATTTTTCTTCCAACAATCCTTAACAAAAAAGAAAGTATCCCTTGCCCAGCAAACCTATAATGCATCTTTCATTGTTTTGTTTCATTTCCATATGCCTATTTTCTTTTTAGCTACACTTCAATTTAATACCATGGAATTTTTGGGTTTTTGAAAAAAAGAGTTGCTGGTACATAATGCATTATGAGGAACAATGGGGAGTGTTGTTAAATAATAGAGTTGCAGAAATGGTAAAGCCATAAATCATCACATATTCTCTTCCATCTGGAGTAGCGTGTAAGATGAATTTAGTGTCATTCTTGACAACTCACAGTGGCTTGTTGGTAATATATGAACCATCAATTTCTGGAATGAAAACTGTGTGGTGTTCCTCTATACCTTAATCTAAACTAGTCTGCTACATTGTCATCCTTTGCAAGACAATGGTTGAATTGTTTTTGAAATTGGTAGAGGCAATTGAAACCAATTAATGAGAAGCATAGCAACATGTGCAAATGGTTCTGATTTTTCAACACTACTCAAGAGTAATATTCTTTCTATGTATTTCAAACTCAAAATATGTTGATAATGTAGAGGCCAATTATAGAAAGATCATTGAGTTGGAAAATGGCGTTTTAGTTTGTCTTAACTCTTAATCTCAGAATCCAAATTTTGTGCTCTATTATTATGTGCAAAATTAGTCATAGAGTGCTAAGAATTCTTCTTAAAGGACGGTAATGTACAATATGGTATACCAATTTAATTTCAATTTTTAAAGAGCTTAAAATGTCATAAATTCATTTCAATTAATAGAGCATTGTAAAAGATGTGTTATATGTGTTGCTGAGATAACGTGTCATCAATTTTAAAGAAATTTTCTAGGATTTTTGTGACTACCAATTTGTTCCAACAAAGTAGATGATGAAATAGCAGAGTTCATATTCCATATACCAACAATTTTGAAAACGATTTTAGTTTATTTTTTCTGATTTATTTCTGTTTTAGTTAGGTTGATTCATTCATGCAATTTTGTCATGATTAGTGTACAATTTGATATGATGTTAAGTTTAATAAAGAAGATGAATAATATTTCAAAATTTCTAAAGATTGAGTGTTGAGGGAGACTAGAAGTACATTAGGATATCTAATGTTTTTATGGGAAATTTGTTGTTTGTAACAGGTGTAGATATCATTTCTTGAATATCGTTTGGTGTCTGATGTTATCTATTAAGAATAGAGTTTCCATTATGCTTCCAGGAAGACTTTGGCGAGATTTAGTATCAACGGTCTGTAAGGGTGGATGGAAGTTGTCCATCTTTGTTGATTGTTCTCATTCCTATCCATTTTGTATAATAAAGTATATCCAATGATGCATTTTAATCGGTTGGTTTTCACTAATTTCAAATGTTTATATATATATATATATATATATATATATATATATATATATATATATATATATATATATATATATATATATATATATATAGATGCACACGCTGTAATAAGCACCAATAATTTGATTGTGATGATGATAATAATTATTAATATGGTGTTTCAGGTGTAGTTGAATTGGTGGAGTTAAATGACTATTAGCCTCAAGAATAGGTTTTGGCACAAGCGTTCAACCGTTCTCGCTAGACTGCCTAATTATCTCAAACTGAGAATCGGTTATTGGCACTACCCAATTTCATACATCATTTATGGAGCATGAGGATTGGAGGTAAGCTTAAGAGTATCAATTATGTTGCAGGTATCAACACTAAATTTTACTTGATTATTTCTACTGGTAGCCCATACTATGTTGCACCAGAGGTTTTGCACAAGCATTATGGAATTGATGTTGATGTGTGGAGGGTCTCTGGGAATTGGGAAAGATATTTTTTGTTGTTTGAATGGGTTTGGTTGAATTTTGGGTATGAAAATGTGAAAGTGGATAGTTTAAGATATTGGGTAGGGAGTCACAGTATTTAATTGCTTCCAAACTGTTTGATATAATTCCTGTGAGGAATTTTCACTTGATGTAAGGTCTTGCACTAATGTTCTTCATGCTTATGCTCGAACCAGGAAGTATAAACGGACTATTGAGATATTTGAGAAGATGAGGGAGACTGGTCTTGATCCAACTTTGGTTACTTATAATGTTATGCTTGATGTTTATGGAAAATGGATTGGTCTTAGAATATACTTTTGGAGTTGTTGTATGAGATGAAGAGTAAAGGGCTTGAGTTTGATGAGTTTACGTGTAGCACTGTGATATCGGCTTGTGGGAGAGAGGGTATGCTTGATGAAGCAAGGAAGTTTTTTGCTGATTTGAAATTGAGTGGATATAGACCTGGAACCGTTACGTATAACTCTATGATACAAGTTTTCGGGAAGTCTGGAGTTTATGTAGAGACCTTGAATATCTTAAAAGAAATGAAGGATAATCATTGCGTGCTAGATGTTGTTACTTACAACGAGGTTGTGGCGGCGTATGTAAGAGTCGGGTTTCATGATGAGGGTGTTGCTGTCATTCATACAATGGCAAGCAGAGGAGTTACGCCGAATGCTATAACTTATACGACTGTAATAAATGCCTATGGTAAAGCGAGAAACGAGGATAAGACTTTGAAGGTGTTTGGTCAAATGAAGGAGTTGGGATGTGTTTCAAATGTACGCACATACAGTTCTGTTCTTGCAATGCTAGGCAAAAGGTCGAGACCAGAAGACATGATTAATATTCTCCATGACATGAAATTGAATGGATGTCTTCCTGAACGTGCAACGTGGAACACGATGCTTGTTGTATGTGGTGAGGAAGGTAAGCAAAAATACGTTAACCAGGTTTTAAGGGAAATGAAAATTTCTAGATATGAGCCTAACAAAGACACGTTCAATACATTAATTAGTGCATATGGTCGGTGTGGATATGAAGTTGATGTTGCGAAAATGTACGGGGAAATGATTATGGTGGGATTTACTCCATGCATAACCACATACAGTGCTCTTCTAAACACTCTTGCTAGGCGAGGTGATTGGAATTTTCATAACAAAAGTTACTTTTTGTTAGTTTTTCAGGCACTCGATGTTCCTATGGATAGGCTTGTCGAAGCAGCTGATTCGGCTTCAGTATGTTCTTCCTTTCTTTTCCTATTTTAATTGTGATTCAACATTGCTTCTGTCTTTGGCATTGATTTATTTTGAAGGCATTGAAACAACTGAATTAGTGGCTGACATGGAAAATCAAATAGCAAAAGCGAAAGAAGATGCTTTAAGCGGAAAAGATATATTGGACAAGGTTGATAAGTGGATGTCAGCATGTGAAGAAGCATAAATTTAATGAGTGGATGTAGTATCTTTTACAAAACTGGAATGCATCATAAATGTTGTCATCAAATCAGTGGGTATGTTTTGGTTTTCTTAATTTTCATCAGAGTGGAAATTGACAATTACGTTATGGTATTTATGTGACGACTCAGTTTAGACCGTTGAGGTAATGCTTAAATCTGCTTATCTTATGTTATCAACTATCATTCTATCATATCTTTCGCTGTGAATTTGAGAGAAACTGGATCGTGAATGTTTGTTTGGTTTTGCTTTTTTTTCTTCCCTTTCTTTCTTTTCTTTCTGATATCAAATTTGATTACATAGTTTGATTTTCGTTTCAGTTATGGTGTTGTTTGGCTGCAGTGAAAGATAGTATCAGAGAGGAGACGAGATCGCGTGGTACGCTGATGGGGATAAGATTGTGAGGAATGAGTATAATCCAGCTACTGCTTATGCATTTGGTATTTTCACTTTTTATTTATTTATTTTGACTTGATTTTGTGAGAGATTAAAGGAGATAGATTAATTAGGTGTTAATTGCGTAATTGAAGGTAATCTTGCTTTTGATTTTGGTGTAGAAATTATGGATATTAATGTTAGAGTTTTGATTTAATTTGTGGCAGAGAGAGTGCTTGGACAGCATACAAATATTGATGAACTGTATGAAGTAGCAGGGAGACCTGTTGTGAAAGCAGCCATGGAAGGGGTTAATGGTAGGAAAAATCAAGATATGGATTAATTCAAAACTGTAGAAATTGGAATGTGATGATTTTAGCTGTCAAATGCAAGAAGATCAAACTAGGACTCAATTTGTTTCTGTTCCTACATGTTATGAGTGTGTGCATTTTTTATCGTGTAACACTTTACTAATTTTTTTTCGTTCCAAGTTGGCAGCTGCCGTCCTCGGCAGCGATGTTGTGGATTGAGAAAATGGACATACGAATCATGACCTACAAGCATACAATTTGTTCTGCAAAATTAATATGAAAAAACACTCAAGATTGTAAATTTAGTTTAACAAATTTACCACTCATATCAAGACATGATATACCTTTATATATTGATGAACTATACCATAATGTAGTCATTCAATTTCAACAATGCAAGGAAGGCATGGAATTTCGTTATAGGAGTTATCGGTGAAATTCTATTGCAGGAAAAAATGGTGGAAGGAATGGCTTTAAAGCATGGCATAAGTTTGATGAAGTGCATAAATCCTGTTAGTTATATGTCGAACCATGTTAGAGTTTGAAGGTGTGAATTTGTTTCCAGTGATTTCTGGTAAACAACCGCTAGTCTTCCAAACTATCGAATAATCTTTCTGACTGTTATTCAATTCCTCTGGTAACTCACAGGATCGACTAGATTGATCCTAGGATTCCTTGGTCATTAGGGTTACTCTCATGATCGAACAAATATTCATGGTTGATATTTGAGTGTTGTATAGGTGTTTGGCTTATTTCGATTTCTCTCTCAAAGGTCTAAAGATGTAATCAAAATGTGCGTGTACGAAACTAAGTTGCATGAATAAATGTTAATTGTAAAGACATGTAAAATTGCATAAAAGGCAAGTAAATGGTTTCGAATTATAAAAACAGTTAATGTAAAGGATTTCTGGAACGTAAAAGGTTTGAAATATGAAGAAAGCGTTTAATGCAAGAAATCTGTAAATGACTTTAAGTAAAGATATGCGTTTGAAGGATAAAGCTTGAAGGTAAAGGCATGGAAAGTATGACAGTTTTCTGAAATGTAAAGTGCTTGAAATGTGAAGAAAGCATTGAAATGTAAAACTTTAATGAAGAGATTTCGAAGTGAAAAGACTGTAAATGAGAAAACTTGTAAATGTTATTTGACAGAAAGATAAAGGAAAGTGCTGGAAATGGTAAAAGGTTTTCATTAAATCATAAATATATATGGTGCTATCATACGTACATTGCTCTTGCATTCGTTTCCCTTGCCATGTGGTAGTTTGAATGTTACTGAGTATTTAGTACAATAGATATGACACACGAAATCCTAATACTAAGACTTCTATTTATACTAATTCGACCATAACGGTCTTGCTATAGGATAATGCCACGTTCAGAACATGCAGAACAATGCCTCTTTCTTCTTTCCACGTGTCTCCAAATGCTCCAGCACATAAATTTCAAACTTCGAATGTCCCGCTTCCATTTGAATTTCAAATGCTTTGGTATTTCTCCGTTTCGAATGCACTTCCCAGACACAACCTTGTTGTTATTCCGAGACTTCTTTAGATATGTTCCCATAATTGCCACTCGAAGCTCCAAGCTTTGACATGCTTATTCGAAACACTGCTTCTGCTACTTCGAAACATGACTCTTTGCTTCATTTCGATCGAAACGTTTAATTCATTTGGCTTCTAATAATATTATCAAAATCTTCAGCCAACAAATTGCCCCTTTAAAATATGTATTTCGATTTCTCTGAGAAATACCTATTTTAAACATCTACATAAGATTTTGATGTGACCTTCGAATCATCGTAACACTTAATGCATTTGACTCCAGTCACGTCAATCATAGCGCTTTTTGGATTCCTTAACCGCCTGGAGCCACTTCACAGTATGGTGCAGTTACAAATAATGATTATCTTTAAATCACGCCTATTACCCATGTTAACTTTACGCCACCTCTTCATCACACCAACCCATGATTTCCACGTATCACACCCTTATTCAGTGGATGCTTAAACTTCCCAATTATAAAACATCACCAACTTAATCTTTTTCTTTTCTTTTCACACTCTGAATCTTTTACCCTCCTTCTCTCGTCAAAAAAACCCAAGCTTTCAACATCCTTCAAAAATGTCTTCTTCTACTTCATCCCAACTCAAGAAAGGCTCCAAGAAGAAAGGAAAAACTGCAGGACCTACCATGGAAAGTAAAATTATCACTCACCAAGGTCAATCCGTTCTTGCCCCTCAGATGATTACAAAGGAAAAAGAAATGATGTATGCGTCACAGGTACTCATTCCTACCACCGTTGCTGGTAAGAGGTTAGCTTTAAATGGCCCTCTTACGGTTTTTGAAATATTAAAAGACACCAGGACGATTTTCCCAGTTTGTTATAGTTTTAAACCCTTGTTTAACAAAATGGACGCCCCTAAGGCAATAGAATCTTCTAGTTCAAATACCATAGAAAACCCAATTGTTCCTCCTAAGGACCCCTTTGTATTGGATTATGTAAAAAGTAATTTTAAGCCATTTCGATCTTGCCTCACCTCTGATATTGCTTATCAAAATTGGTTCAAGAAAGTAGAAGCTAAGAAATCCCAGCAATGGGAAGAATTAGGTATCTATAACCTGATTAAGCTATCGAAGCCTGGTTTCACCTACAGCCACCCTCTGCTATTCGCGTCCCTCTATTTCTGGGACAGTACCTATAACACTTTCCATCTCCCAGGTGGAATGATCACCCCAACCTTCTTCGACATAGCGGCCATCACTGGGCTATCGCCAGTATGAGAAACTTATATCCCCGACAACGAAGAACATTCAAGCATAATTGACTTCGAAGTCAAGCTAGCAAGTTTTTCCAAGTTTATCAGTCATTACCATGCTGAGGGGGATAATGTGTCTGACGTAGAACACATTGCTTTCTTAACCCTGTGGCTGTCAAGATACGTTTTCTGCAGTAGGTCCCTACAGGTAGCTAGTAGGTTCATTCCTCTAGCTAGGGACTTGCATGAAAATCGAAAAGTGTGCCTAAGTGAACTGCTCTTAGTTGACCTTTATGAAAGCCTGAGGTCAGCTGTTTCGAGCCTCAAATCCCATACCTCCAAGAATATTCTGTTGGCTGGCCCTTTTTGGTTGCTTCAACTATGGCTAAATGCCATGTTCGAACCCTCCTTGTCAACCGCCAACACCATTGATGAACAAGATCCTGAGATAAATGATAGGATAGTCGAAGGCACTAGGCTTCGAAGATTAACTCCAAATGACGACAAAGATGACTTCAAAGTCCAATTCTTGAAGTACATCATGATATTCTCCAAAAGGCACAAGTTCGAAGAGAGCATGGCGCCTTTTGCTTCGAGGGCTCATGGACCTTCTTGGTTCACCATGGCTCTCTCAGAAGCTATCAAGAGCAAGGAGATCCAGAATGTATGGAGAGCTTTTTTGCTACCTAGACTCATTTCTTCAAGAATAACTCCAGCCAAGAACTAGATTTTTCTTTTTGCTTACCAGCCAAATTTTGTTTCGAGACAGTTTGGCTTATGTCAACTCATTCCTGAACCTTTATTCCACACTGAGAGCGCCATTACTTCTGGGCAAACTTTCAAGGCACGGGAAGCCAAAATACAGCAAGAACAATATCAAGGCTTTGCCCAGTTTGAGCTGATAACCTTCGAACCTACCCATCTCACAGCTAAAGGGTTTCTGGAATGGTGGACCAAGTTTTATCAAACTTATATGTTCGATACACTTACAATTCAACAGAAACTAATTGATGCCTTCGATGTGCAGGTACCAGCAAAGAAAGGTATGTTTACTCATGCCAAAGAGATTAAAGCTTTCCAAAATTATTTTGAAACTACTTATGACCCCACGCGCTTGGACTCCACTGTGCATCAAGCGGCTGAGACCTTGAAGGAAAAATTTAAACAAAAAGTTTCTAAGTTAAAAATTCCTTCAGGGTTGTCACCTGAGGATATGTATAGGTTGGCATTCAAAATGCATCCACCTAAATTTCCCAGATTACCTACCTCAGAACTGGCTCTGGCTTGGTTTCCCCCATATCCTTGGTGGTTCACTTGCAAAGAGATGTTCAAACATCTTCAAAGGAAACCAAAGCCATCTGAGACTGTGACATGGGCTCGACACTGGCTTCATGATTTCCCAGGACACCTTCGATACGACCTTTCTGCCATGTCAATTAAATCTGATCAAGGCACATGTGCGAATGCTTGGGAAAATCCCAAACGTCTTTTATTTTCCATATCTTTAACCTTTGCTTTAATTGTTTCGATTTTCAGCCATCAGGA